ATGTTCCTGAACAGGCTGGGAAGTCCCATGTGCCTGGACAGGCCAGGAACACTCATGTGCCAGATCAGGCTGAGAAGTGTCACATCCCGGAACACACAAGCATCCCCACACAGGCTGATGGGAGTGAAAGGTGAAGATTTTTTTTAAGTACCATGTCATTCCTAGCCTGGGTACCATCCTACTTGTATGCCGGGGCTCCCACACTCGCTTCCCTAAGAAGTAGGGAAGCGAGTGTGGGAGCCCCGGCATACAAGTAGGATGGTACCCAGGCTATGTCATTCCTAAAGTAACTTCTGATTCTAGTATTTCAGTTGGTCCAGACATTTTACTTCATATATGCTATTCTCTTTGTATGTATATATATATTATACAATATGCTCATGACATGATCCATGTTACCATGATCAAATGATAAGAGTGTAATTTAAGACCTAATGTATCCCTTTGCATATGAATTTTGGTCAGACTGGTCAAGTTCTTTTTTCTACAGCAATATCTATGCTGCTTATGTGGAGAGTATGTATGAAGGGCTTGCAGCAGCTGGTGGCTATGCATATCCACTCAATGATAGAGTACAAAAACCCCATCAGAGCTCCAAAGATAGAGGCAGACAAAGACAGACTCCACCAAAAGAATACAATGGACAGGTAAAGGACAATTGTAAAACTGGTGAAAAGCCACTACATGATAGGCTTGGAGTCAAGATATTGGGAATGGAATCGTACCAGAGCTATCTTGAAAAGACTGTTGAAGAGGAACCAAAGAAATGGAGGCAGATTCCATGGAGCGAGATTAAAAGAAACACAGACCATGTACCCCAAACTGCAGCAAGCCCAGTAAGCAGAGGAGACATGAGGGAGGAACAGAAGAGTTCAAAACAAGGGACGGGAGAAGGAACTAGTCAGGCGAGCAAGTATGTACCCAAGGAGAAGGAAGGGGCCCATGTAGGAAGACAAAACTCATCATGTGCAAGCATGAATGGACAAGGCAGCAGACAGTGGAAAAAGACTCCTACCAAAGAACCCCCTCCTGTTGGCAGTGTTGCTGAAAATGGAGCTGCGGAGCAGGCCCAGCTTGGTCCACGGAAGGACAGAGTGTCCAGTAAACCTGGCAGCAGGAGGAACAGCATGTCTGAAGATCTTTCAGTCATCAAGGCTGAGTATGATTGGCGGAGGTTCCAGCTGGAGCGCAAGTTCAAAAAGGTACTGGTAATTTGGTACTTGGTTGGAAGAAAGAAAATTTAATGCTTGAGTCCTCTTCTACTGATTTGAAGTTTATGATATAAGGAAAAAAAATGATTGTCTTTCAAATCTTCAGCTCTTATTTTGTTGGTTGACAATCCACAGCAGTGGTCTCATCATTTGCTCTGCAAGGTCCTGGCTTAGAAGAGAAATATGATAACCTTTGCTTTATCTTTTATAAGGTGTTGGACGCATTGAAAGAGAAAGAGGAACAAGTGGCTGCCAAGGACCTTTGGACCATTGTAAAGTCAGGTACAGTCATTGCATTTAGTAATTGCTGTATTTATATCAGCAAGTTAAGTATTACTACAAACATTTACCATACATGTCGATAGAAGACACTCATTTTCTTCCCTGGATATGTTTAATATTGTGTTTTTGTTAAAAACTAACATGTACTGAATGATGCTGATTTTTTTGTCTTCGCTCCTAGATCCTCTGCCACTCACTGGAGCTGAGACTGTTTGGATGTGAGTAACACATTGAATGTTGACTTTATGACTTGTACAGAAGGAGGCAGGCTGGCAGAGTTCCCCATGCCTGGTGCAGAGGCTGTGTTGTTGGACCTGCTGCTGACTCGGGCAGTGGAGAAGAAGGAGACCAGACTGATGACAGTCAAACTGCTAGCAGTTTTATGTAGTAAGTGGTCTCCTCTTGTTTGAAGATACCAATCCCCTTCTCGTAATCCAATCATTTAATTTAATTATGTTAGATTGGTACAAATGTAATAATTTAGGAAGCTCATGGTGGTGGGTGGGTGGTGGTGGCGGCGGCGGTCACCTTGAACAGCTTTGTCAAAACAAGCCGGCTGCCACGCAAATTGCCACTTACCTATATTTAAGACATGGTTTAATTTCCTTGCAAACATAATGATTAACAGTTGCATAATGCATATGACCAGGTTTATGAACTGACATTACAATGCTGTCCCATCTTACCTCCACTAATAACTTGCCAATGCTCATGTATGTGCATTATTTCCCTGTTGTGGAAAATGAGGAGTGACTAATTGTGTTTTTCTTCAGGTTTGTACCAAAAAAGCATGGATGTGCTGAGCAGTGTCTTGCTTGAGAAACAGGCATCCTACTGCAAGGTGAGCAGGTCTTGGAATTTGACCTAAACTGTTAGTAATTACCCATTGGTTGTGGCTAAAACACAACTTAACAATCACTCATATTGTACTTAATCTACAGTAAGTTAAGTCAAGGGAAATAGCTTTTCCTAGTGTATTATGTAACTGCGTACTGGGACTTGCACGGTTGTAACATAACCATGGTTCTTGCTTTAGGTGTCTGGGGCCACCAATGCCAAACGCCTGTATGAAAGTTACAGTGAGACCCTGGGCCATCTTTATCTCCAGGCAAGAAACAACTTAGGGTAAGGACATAGATTGACCAGCTAGTTGTACTTGCTAAGTGTTGAATGCTTATCAGCTTCTTGGTAAAGAAAAAAATTTTTACTGTATTTATTCAACAATGCTAGTCACTGAACACGCAGTAGTTGACTCTCAGCTTGCAAATATTTCAACAATTAAATCTGGCAATATTGCTGTTTACCAGTCCAAACACATGTACTAAAGTAAAGTGTACCCCAGATGTACTTACTGTGTGCTGTACTATCACAATTGCAGACAAGAGTTCCAAGACTGCATCTGTGACATGATGTTGAAAACCCTGGAGAAGTGGCTGCATATCAACACACAGGTAGGAAATGTCTCCTACACATGTCTTTGTGGAAAGATCTGTTAGTTGCAGCATTCTGTAAAAAAAAAAATCAGGCTTTTTAACTGTGTATAACTATCATGATTGCTAGTATATAGTGATTGCTAGACAATAAGACAACAGAAATGGCAGTTCTCACCCCTTACCCACTGTTTAATAATAATACTGGTTTATTGTTCGTCTTGCACATGTTACATCTCGCAGGGCATAGGCCCTGAATTGGTTGTAACTACAATGTGCTAATTAGTTAAAAAAATTAATTACCCTTGACCAAAATAACAAATATACAAAGTGGTCACCGTGGGACGGTACTCACGACGACACGAATTACTGATATACACATTAAAATTTCGAAATTACACATACAATGGTTAAAATGCGACACGATTCTTTAAAATATTTTAGAGCGTAATAATGCATATATTATATAAAAGCTACGTGTACGTACAACGTTAAAATTGCTACTAACAATTATTAAAAAGGGAACTATTAGTTACATGTG